GACTCACAGTTGCTCGCCCCTTGATTGATAGTGGTAAGAGGTATATTTACACTACAGAATTAATGCAGTTGGATGCCACTTTTAACTGCCATAGCTTAGTAATTTGGAATCATGGGAACAATAGTTCTACAAGATCTTTAGCCTTCTCTGCAAAGAGTGCTGGTGCTTCACCAAACTACAAGATTCTATAGCATTGAGCCATGGCAATTAAAGTGCTGTCAAACAGTATTAACAGTTACATCCTAAGTATGCTTCAGATTGCAACCTGACTGTTATCTGGTGTAGGATCAATCTTGGTTACTCATCCTCAACTATGTTTGAGCTTATGCAAGAATGTGAAATACTGTTCTCAGGATGCAAACTGTGTGAGTACTTTGCAAACTGTAACCCATAAATATTTTTACAGTGGCGTTCTTCAGTCATAGTTACTAAGCAACCAATCTGGGTAATAAAAAGATTCTTACATGCTTTGACCATCAGGATATATTATAATCCTAGCTAAGGTGTGCTTCCCAGAATGGATGTTGCTATCAATGTACACACTTCCCTAATGATTTCTAAATCAGAAATGCTTATCTCTGAGAAATATAAATAGGATTGGGCTTTAAAATGGAAAATATTATAGTCTCATGACAGGTTCTACATGTACTTGGTATGGGTAGGAACCATGCCAGGTGAGGTGTAAAAATAATAGCCCAAAATCCCCCATAAGGATGTTTTTCAGCCCTGAACAGAAACTGAGGCAGCCCAAGTAATCTTGCTGAGTGTAGTACAGTAGCAAACATTGCCCTCGCTCCATGAAATCAAGGTGCATAATGTGGAGAGCTTGCCAATTTATACATATGGCAGGAAATCCCCCAAGCATCTTTCTTCCTTCCTGACAATAAAAATTCATTATCCCACAGATCAAACAATGTAAAACATTTTGCCCTTTCATGGTATGCATAGTTAACATCTGTCTCTATCTGTCTTTTGATAGGGTTTGCCATTGTTCAGGTTAGAGCTCGTGAAATCTTGGAGAATTGCTTATAAGAAGAATGTATATATAGTAGATTCTCAGTGAATCGGCACCCATAGGAATTGGTAGATCTTGGATAAATGTAGTTTCTGGTTGCTTGAGAGTTATTATAAATTGACGTAACTAATACTATAGTGTGGGCATAGGCAAACTTTGGCCCTCCAGGTGTTTTAGTCTTCAACTCCCACAATTCCTAACAGCCACTAGGCTGTTAAGAATTGTGGGAGTTGAAGTCCAAAACACCTGGAGGGCCAAAGTTTGCCATGCCTGCTATAGCCCATGCTATAGCATACAACACACTCTGTATGTATGTGATATACAGTACTTACTTACTTACTTAGGTGATCCCTCGTTGAGCGAGTAAGATTGTCATCCAAGTTCGGTGTACTGGCAGTGGGTACGTAGGTGATTGTGGAGCCCTATTCTTGACCTGAATGTTCTCCTGCAGTGAGGATTTTGGTTTCCAGGTGGAAGATGGTCCTGGTCTGGATTGGCTTGATGCGCCTTCCTCTTGGCACGTTTCTCTCTTTCGCCTTCCATTCGTGCCTCTTCAAATTCTACAGCACTGCTGGTCACAGCTGACCTCCAGCTGGAGTGCTCAAGGGCCAGGGCTTCCCAATTCTCCGTGCTATGCCGCAGTTTTTAAGGTTTGCTTTGAACCCATCTTTAAATCTCTTTTCCTGTCCTCCAATATTCCATTTCCCATTCTTGAGTTCGGAGTAGAGCAACTGCTTTGGGAGACGGTGGTCAGGCATTCATGATATACAGTAATTAAAAGCAAATAAAGACAAACTTGATGTGATACAGTTTTATTATTTTACTAGGAGCCCCCAGTGGCACAATGAGTTAATAAACTCTCGTGTGGCAGAACTAAAGACCGACAGGTCAGAGGTTCGAATTTGGGGAGAGTGTGGATAAACCTCCCTCTGTCAGCTCCAGCTCCCCATGCAGGCACGTGAGAGAAGCCACCCACAAGGATGGTAAAACATCAAAATATCTGGGCGTCCCCTGGGCAATATTATTTATTATTTACTCCTTTTGTATACCGCCTATATCAGCCATACAAGGCGACTCTAATATCTTTGCAAATGGCCAATTCTCTCACACCAGAAGTGACTTGCATTTTTACAAGTCACCCAACACGAAAAAAAATAAAATAATTTTAATTTTAATTTAAAAACAGCTTTAAAAAATTAAAATATTATTTCTTCCATTTTTTGCCAGTTGCTTGAAAGTTCCAGTTGTTTGAGTTTCAGTTTACGAAGAGTCTACTGTCATGCCATACTGAAGTGGCAAATCAGACGATTGGTTGGACAGTGCTCAGAAACCCACTGATCATGTCTGAGTGGCTTCAGCATATAGTTTTTGTCATTTCTCTAAAAAGCCATTCCCAAGCTCTGTCCCTCACCTTTTCTCCAAAGGAACTGGGGCATTGCATTTTTAACAAGTATTGTGGACTTTCCTATATGTCAAGGGCCTGGCCAATTCCTTTCGAGTGTCAGGCTTGACTCATCACCCAGTAGCAGATTAATGAATAGTTAAACTTCTCTGTGTAGATTCTTTCCGATTGAGTGACAGGTCTAGTCTCGTGGGAAAGTTTCGTGGAGGTCATGACAAATTATATCTTTCTGTCCTCTAAACTTCCTTAACTCCTACTGTTGGTCTGGCCTGTGGAAACATAGGCCTTTACTGTAGGCTGTGGTAGTTTTTATAAAACCTGAACCAAAGCTGGTCTAACCAGTGCAACAGGTGGACCTAACCACAGTGGACTTTATGGTTGGTTAGGAACTGCCTTGAGTTCCAGTCTTGGGGGGAAGGCAAACATAATGATTGATTCATTGAACAAATTAGGGGGTTTTTAAAAGATTTTTTTCAGAACCTTTTAACCATCATGGCTAAAGCTGGAGATTCCAAGATATGTAGTCTAAAAAGCAACCTTGCTAAGAATTTATTAGAAATCAGAGAGCCCTCTATTGTTCCCAGACATTATGACTTTTACCCAGTTGTTACATATAATATCCAACAGATAATAATAATATTTTTTTTCTTACCCTCCTCTTCTCATGGCTCGAGGTGGGTTACAGCACAGTTAAAAACACAAAAATACTATAAAAAAAATCTACAAACACACATTAAAATTTAGTTCCATAACTTGATACAAATCAAGGCATTTCTGTAAAATATACATTAATCGCATAAGACAGAGGCCAAAACATGTGACATTAGTTTAAAATTCATGCTTAAAAGACTGGCTGGGTAGACCAGGTAGAGATAGGTCTTCTAATCCCTAACTAGAAGCCAGTATAGTATAGGAATTTGAGTGCTAGACCCAGGAGGCCAGGGTAAGTTGTGGAAACCCATAGAGAGACTTTGGGCAAGTTGTACTCTCTTGCCCTAAAAGGAAGTCAATGGCAAACCTCCTCTGAATAAATGTTGCCAATATGATAGGGTTTTCATAAGTTAAAGTTGACTTGAACACATAACAAAAAATGAAATAGATAATACATACTTCTTATGCTGCAAGACTTAATTCTTTTAAGATGCTGTCCTGTAGGTGGACAGCTTGAATCCCTGCTGGAAAGGGGCAGTGGTCATGGTCCCCCCCCCCCCATATATGCGCCAAATATATGCTCTGCAGAATAATGAGATCATCTGGAACATTGGAGGTTGTGGGAGGATATGAGTTTTAGACAGATAGCATGAAATCAGCCCAGATTCTCTCCCCTTCTGCTGGAGCATATATTTTGGCTGGAAATCTACTCCAAGGCTGCACTGGTTGGTGGGATAAAAGTTGAATTCAGTCCACAGTCTTGCAAAAGAATATCCATTTTTCTGTGAACTGAATTAGCTCCAAGGAATTGCTTTATGAGAAACATAGGAAGCATTATCCTTTGTAAGATAAGCAGTTAATGCTTTTCCCCTTAAAAAGAATGAAATAAGTGAAGACTTCAAAATCTGTTCCCTTGTGTTTCAATACAGTGTGTAGTTTAAACACTGTGGTTTTAGTCCTAAAATAGCTAGCTTCAGAGATGAGGATACACACCTGTGGTAGACTCTCTGCATAGTATTAGAAAAATTATGTTTTCAAAAAGTGTTGGGAGTGACCTCTCAGCTTTATCTGTTCCATTCTTTCTTGATGTGGGCAGAACTTTCCTATCAGGATATCATCTTAATGAGTCTAATTTGTGGGTGCTAAAGTTCTTTGCAGCATTTTTACATTCCTGAATGCAGTTTGCCTTGTTGCTCCTCCTGGTGTGATTCAAAGCAGGAGAATGTTTAAAGTATGTTCATCTGTGCATATTTTTGAATCATATGATGCTCTACACAGGAAAGGTGTGAAAAGCCAAAGGTATCTCCTCCCCCAGCCTTTCTTAAACTGCCACTGTGGATTGCTGAGGAAGTGGGAGATCTGGTTTGCCAAGATAAACCTGCTATCTTGAGCAATAATTTCAGAATATGCCAGTCAAGAGATTTGTATTAGAAAAATACTTTATCCTCAGCTCATAATTCCATAATGCTTTGCAAACTGGGCAAAAAAGAACATAGTTTGCAGGTCTGTTGCTTTTTACCTTTGAGCAAAGTTGTAAAATTTCTTTTTTTTGGACTATAACTCCAATAACCTCTCTCTCAGTTACTGTAGCCATATTGCCTGGGGGGTTCTGGAGACTGTAGTCCAAAAGTGATCCCTCCTCCCAGCAGTGCCAGGAAATAGACCCTGCTGATTTTACTGGTATAGCCTTATTAAATCAATATGTATATTATTATGGTAAATGTATTGTCGAAGGCTTTCATGGCCGGAATCACTCAGTTCTTGTGGGTTTTTTTGGGCTATATGGCCATGTTCTAGAGGCATTTGCCTCTAGAACATGGCCATATAGCCCGAAAAAACCCACAAGAACTGGATTATTATGGTATTTTATTTCTGTTTTTTAAAATCCTTGCATTGTTCTCATAAGACGTATTTGCTATTTTTTATGTTTAGGTGTGGAAGAAAATGTCCGTCAGCATGCATGAGAATCGCAAGTCTAGAGCCAGCACTGGCTCCATAAACATATATTTATTCCACAAATCTTCCTATGCTGATAGCGTCCTCACTCATCTCAACCTTCTGCGTCAGCAACGCCTTTTTACAGATGTCCTTCTCCATGCTGGGAACAAGTCCTTTCCTTGCCATAGAGCTGTTTTAGCTGCTTGCAGCCGCTACTTTGAAGCCATGTTCAGTGGAGGACTCAAAGAGAGCCAAGCCAGTGAAGTGAACTTCCATAACTCCATACACCCGGAAGTTCTAGAGCTTCTCCTTGACTATGCTTACTCCTCAAGGGTCATCATCAATGAAGAAAATGCAGAGTCCCTTCTAGAGGCAGGTGACATGTTGGAGTTCCAAGACATTAGAGATGCTTGTGCAGAATTCTTAGAGAAGAACCTTCACCCTACAAACTGTCTTGGCATGTTGCTTCTGTCTGATGCTCATCAGTGCACCAAACTTTATGAGCTTTCTTGGAGGATGTGTCTTAGCAACTTCCAGACCATCAGTAAAAGTGAAGACTTTCTTCAACTCCCCAAAGACATGGTTGTGCAGCTCCTGTCAAGTGAAGAACTGGAGACTGAAGATGAGCGGTTAGTATATGAATCAGCCATGAACTGGATAAACTACGATCTGAACAAACGCCACTGTTATCTTCCAGAACTGTTGCAGACTGTGAGATTGGCTCTTCTGCCTGCCATCTATCTCATGGAGAATGTTGCTACTGAGGAACTCATTACAAAGCACAGGAAGAGCGAAAACATTGTCGAAGAAGCAATAAGGTGCAAATTGAAGATTTTGCAAAATGATGGTGTCGTCACTAGTTTATGTGCAAGACCCAGAAAAACTGGCCATGCCTTATTTCTTTTGGGAGGGCAAACATTTATGTGTGACAAGTTGTACCTGGTTGACCAAAAAGCAAAGGAGATCATTCCAAAAGCTGACATTCCAAGCCCAAGGAAAGAGTTCAGTGCATGTGCTATTGGCTGCAAAGTCTATATTACTGGTGGCCGTGGTTCTGAAAATGGAGTCTCTAAAGATGTTTGGGTGTATGATACACTTCATGAAGAATGGTCCAAGGCTGCTCCCATGCTAGTTGCACGATTTGGCCATGGTTCTGCTGAACTCAAACACTGCCTTTATGTTGTAGGAGGCCACACAGCAGCCACTGGTTGTCTTCCAGCATCTCCTTCGGTATCCTTAAAACAAGTAGAACAGTATGACCCTGTGACCAACAAATGGACAATGGTTGCCCCACTTCGAGAAGGAGTAAGCAATGCAGCTGTTGTGAGTGCAAAGCTGAAGCTTTTTGCTTTTGGTGGTACCAGTGTTAGCCATGATAAGCTACCCAAAGTTCAGTGTTATGACCTGTGTGAGAACAGATGGACAGTACCAGCTACCTGTCCCCAGCCATGGCGATACACAGCTGCAGCTGTTCTGGGCAACCAGATTTTTATTATGGGTGGAGACACCGAATTCTCTGCATGCTCTGCTTATAAATTCAACAGTGAAACCTACCAGTGGACTAAAGTGGGAGATGTGACAGCTAAGAGAATGAGCTGCCATGCAGTAGCATCTGGAAACAAGCTGTACGTTGTTGGAGGATATTTTGGCATCCAGAGATGCAAGACACTAGATTGCTATGACCCCACACTAGATGTGTGGAACAGCATAACCACAGTGCCCTATTCGCTAATCCCCACTGCATTTGTGAGCACATGGAAGCATCTCCCTTCTTAATTGCATGTGTGCCTATACAGGTGAGAAACCACATCTACCAATACAGATGGCTGTTTTGCATTTGTACAAATATTAATGTCATATGTGATATGATTTAGCCAGTGCTATATCCTATTAACAGAATTGGGAATAGAACCCCAGCTTCATTTTCTCAGTTAAACATCACAGTTTTATAAGTAAGATTACTTCGTTTATTCAGTACTGTGAGCATACTCAATTTCCTATAGGTAAACACTTATATGAGCAATGTTAGATATGAACTGGGTGATCGTACATGCAGCCATCAGTAATTTGTCTGTCTATAACATAAGGGTCACTCTTTGCTCGGCCCTTGGTCTGATTCACATGTTACCTATGTTTACACAATTGATTCATGTGTATGGTAGGCTCTCCGTATCCATGGGGGATATATTCCTGGCCACACTGCAGTTGTATGAAACTGTGGATACATCTAAATGCCATTAAATTATCCTCTTTCGGGCCCAACATACTATAGAGTTGCATTGGACCACCAAGAGTTCCTTAGAGAGCTAAGCTCTCTAGGACCCAGCATATATACCTAGAGACACAATTTTTGCTGTGGGCACAGGTAAGGGAAGCTGAAGATATGAGCTCCACAGTTATGAGGGATAATACAATGGCAAATTAGCTTGATGAAATGATGTGTAAGGGGGACAGTACACCTGAGTTATTTGAAATTCACATCAAAGTTATTTATTTTTCTTCGAACAAATGTTTGAACTATAAACATTGTGTGACCATACTATTACCTGGCCCATTTGTTTATGCCTACTAGGACGGGTTCATTATCCTTGCTTGGATATATCTCAAATTGAAATAGCCGAGATTCACAATCCATGATATGCTTAGGACTGTGTGCTGACCAAGACAGTGGGTTGACTTGGGTATCTATTATCTGCATGTGTGGGCCACTTTTTGAAAATACATTTCAAGCCACATATTAACATCAAATACAAATTATATAGACTTGTGTATCTGAACTTAATGAAATTAAGACTATTTATAATATACAGAAAAACATGTGTATCTGATAGTGAATCATGCTGACCCTGTGCTTAAAATAAGACATATTATTTGGTTCAAGTTATAATTTGGCTTGCAAGTCAGAGCGTTCCAAAGCCCATAAATTCTATTTTATAGTTCAAGGTCTTGGCCCAGATCTGCACCTGATGATGTGAACAAGTGAAGGGCTGGTGACCTTTACAAAATGATATTGGCATACAAGAAACTCTGAATTTGAACTAGTTCTTGGAGATGCTTATCCAGTTTTCTCGCTGTTCGGATAAATGTGTTTAAACCTTATTTTCCCTCATTTTTGAAGTGCCAAAATAACTTTTCCTTATGATACACTCTTTTCTCAACAGTTGGGTGTGCTTTTAGGGATGTATATCTGGTTTACCCGCCCCTTTTCACATTTCCAAAATGGCAAGATGAATATTGAATTCAGATAAACTTTTTAGCTGTTGAGCTTGGGTTTGCAAAGGTTTGTATTTTCCCAAAGTAAGTGAAGCCCAATCTTACTCACAGCTGACTGCTGCTTTTAATAAATTATTTTTTGCTCTTTAAATCACATTTTTACTAGTGACTGGACTACTCCATCTGAGTATTCCATGAATTGCATTTCAGGTTTCCCAGATAGACTCGTGCCCATAATTCTGCCTGGCATTTTGATGCTGCACAAGGAACCCATAAAGCCATTCAGGTTGTAAATATGCTTTGTGGTATTATTTTCTTCTAGTGAAGGCTAGTGCTGGTGGAAAGATTAAGAGGAACTGGCTAGGTTACACTCGCAATAAAAGCATGACAACCTCTTCGTAAAAAAAGTAAATGACAAAAAGAGAGCCATTTAGGAATAGCTATAAAACAGTTCCAGATTGGGCTGTTGAAGTGCAAGTTCATCTGCCAATATGGTTACAGTGTTGCATTCTTAATTCTATAGAATTGAGTGATTCCTAGTTTTCTTAATCCTTGCAAATCTGTGCAAGGTCTCCAGTTCAACAATGCAGACATGATAACTTCGATAGTTTTACCAATGCAATATTCTGGATTTGCATCTCTTCAGCTGAGTCAAGGCTTCAGAATTAGGTATGCTCAGTTTAGAAAAAATGTGTTGGACTTAACATATTCTAGAATTTGCTGGCCAGCATTTCTGAAATAATCTAAGAATTGTAGTCTAAAAATTAACTTTTCCAAGCTGTCTTTGGTCTCCATGTTGAAACCTTCTCGACCATAATCTTTATTTGATTCTGGCTGAATCTTATCTAGGATTTGGGTTTCTGCACAGTAGCAACAATGAACAAAAGTTGACTAACAGTATGTGATTTCCCAAAGTTATTATATTACTACCATAATTCTGACTCCCTCATCAGGCCTCCTGTAACTCTTCCATCAGCATTGTTTTCTTTTGAGTTACTTTAAAGTGTTTTATGTGATCCACACAACAACTTTTCCTGACATAGTTGATACAGATGCCTTGCAGATGTGCAGGGTTTCAGTGCCCATCATTCCTAGCCAGCATGGAAATTGGCTGCTGTTGTGGATGCTATATATTCAAATCCAATATGTCTAAAGGTTGCATCTATGCTGTAGAACTAATGTTGTTTGGCACCACTTGGAGTTTGTGAGGCACCTGCATTATTTGGCAGACAAGGCTAAAGATCTTGTAAAACTACAACTCAATGTAAACAATGTAAAACTACAAACTACAATGATTCCATAGCATTAAGTAGTGTCAAACCACACTAATTCTATAGCATAGATGCACTCTTAAGGGAGGCAGCTATATAGGGTATGGTGATTTCCTGTTTTATTGGAAGTAGCCAAGAAATGGGTGGGGTTAAACTGATAGAAAAGACAAGCTTTTCTAAAACAGAATGTGCTGGTTTTCATCCAAAATATAATGTTCTCAAACACTTAAGTTTGAGAATACCCTGGATACTTAAGGCTAATTGTACATTTCCTATGCAACTCAAAAATTACACAAATAAACCTTCCAACCACTCAGAAACCTATAGTGAGAGAACTGGCAGAGAGAACCCTCACATCATGCCATTTTTTTGGTATTTTAATGGTCATTAATTCAACCGTCTTAATAGTAACACATTCTTAGACTCAGAATTGTGCCAAGAAAAATACTTAACATGTTTTTTTCAGCACTTTCCTGGATTGTTCTCTTCATTATTACTGTTATTGGCTGATATTGCAGGTTGAGTATCCTTTGTCTGGAATTCCAAATTATTCCAAATTGTACACTATCTGGATGAGATAGTGAAGCCTTTGCTTGCTAATGGTTCAGTTTACATAAGCTTTGTTTCATGTGCAAAATTATTAAAATATTGTGTCTAGAATTATGAGTTTAGATGTGAGTCTGATCTCTTAGCTATTTGATACAAACACACACACACACACACAGACACACACGTACATACATGCAAGTATTTCAAAATCTAAAAGAAAAAATCTGAAAAATGGAACACTTTTTGTCTCAAGCATTTTGGATAAGGGATACTCAGCCTGTAATTTGAAAATGAAGCTATCTTGTTTCCATCCAAAAATTTGCCCCTTTCAGCATAAAGCACAAAGTCAACATATTTTCCTGTTCCATTTTTTCCTTCCTAAAGCCCTGCTTCAGATTCTATGTTAAGATAACTGGATAGATGTAACTGGGGCTGCACAGTACACATCCAGCATGGAGTGATTTTTTAAGAACTGTCTCCTGCTGACAAAGCAGCAGGAGGGAGGGACAGAAAGGAAATTACTTCTGATTATGCTGTGTTTTCATGGTGCTGTGTGGCCCCAGCCTGACAGCAGTTAGGGAAGTCTTAAATCTGCTTTGTCTCTTCCTTCAGACTTGTGGGTTCTCTTGTGAATAGAATTCCATATCCCTGCACAAGAGGGAAAAGAGCAAATCCATGTATAATTATGACTAGAACCATTATATTGGCTTCAGTGGTTGAATGTATGGAAGACCAACCAACAAATACTTTTAAAAAATTGTCTACCTTTGAATCAGTGAGAGATAGACAGCAAAGTTTGCAGCATTAGCTTGACTGTCTTTTCTGCACTGAACTTTTCCCCTGCCCTTTGAATCTGAGGTTGGATTCAGCTTTCAGCAACAGGCATGTATATTCAAACGTGTCGCACCAGGCTAACTGGAGCAATTTTGCAATTACACCAGCGGAAATCCCATCAAACTTTGCTTCATACGTCCTGGCAGAGCTATTAATTTCTACTTTAAAAACCAGCATGGTGCCTGGTTTCAAAACTGGCCCGAGAGCATAATGGAGTGAGAAGGTGGAGTGCGGACGCCAAACCATGGCATCCAAAGCCAATATTTTGCACTGAATAATCAACATAACAGAAAGGGTTCAATGGGGAGGCACTGGAGCATACCACATTGTCGCATGACAAAGCACAGCGAAGCAGAATTCTGACATAATGAATAGCAGAAACCTTTTAAATAAGGGGATTAATATGTCTGCCATTCATATTCTGAATCGGTCCTATTCAGGATTCTCCATGGTTAGCAGGCCATTGGTTGGCAATTCTCTTCTCCAACAGGGCTGTTTTCCTTTCCTCCCCCCCCCCTTTTTTTTTTGTTGCTAGTTTGCTTTGGCTTGAGACCAAAGCGGCTATCCTGCTACTTCTGCCCAGGCAGTTCTTTTTTGTTTGTTTGCTCAAGGGAAGCTACAATAAATGTCCCTTCCAATCTCCCAGTTTATAACTCTGCCATATTGTCTGTTTGTAGAGCTTAGAGGGGGAAAGCCTGATACTGAATTGATATATCACTTCTATCAAGTTTTTGCTATATCAGAATACAGAAAAGTTAACTTTAGTTGCAGAATCTATGTTTCAGTTTGGTTCTTGCACTTCATTTTGTTAAGGAAATCAACTGGTGGTTTTGGCACTAATCTCTGAAAGAGGCGCTGACAATTTTCTGTAAGCTAGATCTGGTCTTGAATGCGATTTTGAATTTTGAGAAAACATCTGAACAGCATATTGTTTCGCCAAGGTCTTCTAATTATTCTCTTTTTCCCCCTTTCTTAGTTTATTCCATTGGAGCCAACGGCGGAAAAATGGTTTGAATGAAGAAAAAAAACTATTCTTTTTTCTGTTCCTGAGTTTGAAGAAAATCTTCTGCACCTTCTGCATATTTTAAGGCTGGAAATGAAGGAATAGAAGGGGATTATTGTCTTCAGTATATCAGCATATTGTTTAACTATGAATGAATTGACCTGTGATCGGGTCCCTGTGTCAGTAATTGTGGATTAATGTCAAGTTTAATCAGCCCTTAAAAGGAGAGGGAGGCGGGAGGGAGGGGAGCTGAACTTTCCAGAGTGGCATAACACAGCGCAAGCCTCCGTTTTCATGGACTTTGCTGTTTGTGTGTGGAATTCGAAATGCTTGTTGCCTCTCTTTGTGACAGTTTGAAGCGTCAGCAGCAGCTGCAGAGGGAAAAGGGGGCCAGGTCTGGAGCAGCGGCAAGATGTATGCCTTTGTGAATGAAGATACAGCTGGATCCCTTTCCACAGAGATGAGCATGTTTTCCTAGGCAGTGCCTGGAGCATCCATCTCAATTGCCAAGCTATGGCAAGTGACTTTCCTCTTGCTAAGGAGCAACAGCTCAGCTATTATTTACACTACTATTTCTTTTTTTGCAGCATTTGTGGGTGAAGAGAAATAATGATTCCCCCACTGCATTGGATTCCTTCTTGTATTTATTAATTACGGCTGTCCTACTTCTAAATTGTTACTTGTTTGTTGTAGATAGAGCTATTTATTGTTCAGTGCTTGCATGCTGATACAATGCCTAGAGTTGTCTTCAAGTGCGAAGGGTTTGTGTGGATCGTATGGTTGGTTTTGCACACTCCTCGATATCTATTTTGACTTGCTCTGCTGCTCAAGGAAGAGGCTGAGTCATATCGGAGGAGAGAAGAAGGGAACGAGGCCAGGGTCAGAAATGGAAGGATTACAAGGTAGCGTCTTAAATGACACATGTCCTGAAGGAAGGAGGTCGCTTTCTCAGGCCACTGGCTCCCAAGGTTACATGCGGTGTAGCTTTGCTGAGCGTATTCCTGTTATACTTTATTTGCCTAGTCATGCCTTTTTGAATGAACTCATCTGGAAACACCCAGCCAGCTTTCTTTTTGTGCAGCCTCATCGCTATTGGAAAGGGAGGATGGGGTGGAAAACAGCCTGCAGAATTCTTTACACAGAGCCCTCTTCATGGCATTATCCACTCTTTGCTTTTTGTTTGTTTGATATTTATTTATTTATTTGCTGGGGAGCGGTGTTTGCTGTGGTCCCCTTTTTTTCTAACTAATGAAAGTCTCTCTCATTCAAAAATAAGATAATGGGGATTATATATATATAGGTTCGTCCCTTTTGGATTGAAATGGTCTTAACAAACTCTTTCTACCTCCCTGTCCATTTCATGCAACATCTGGCATGAGGGTTAGAATGACAAGAGAGAACAAAGTTCAATCCTGAAATATTGGCATTCATTTTCATTAATTAACAACTTAAAAGACTTTGAGATACATGGCTGAAATCATCTCATAAAAGAGATCTGAAATACCCCCTCTCTTAATTTATTTCTAAAATGTACTCTTTTTTAACAAACTACAACAACAACCCTGTTCATTCCATTATTGTTTTTACCCAGGGTTCTTGTGTTCTGTTTGCCAGACTTTTACTTAAGCTTTATATAAGAATTAGTTATGACCCAAGCAACATAAAGCTGCCAGTCCTCCATTGTGGTTGGTTGTCTTGTCTGATGTTGTAGAAACACAATGGTTTTCAATTGCATGTGTGCATGCCTACAAGGAGTTATATTATTATGCCTGCCTACATGATGGTGATGCTGATGATGTAGCTAAACTTTTGACATCTCTATACATATAGATCAACATTTTAACAGAGCCCATAGCACAGTCCTGTATTCAGATGTACATTGGGGCCTGACCTCCTAGTATAGCCTTCTCCAGAATTGTGCCTTCTAATGTGGCGAATTACAGTCTCCATCACTCCCACATCAAATAACAAGACCAAGTGGGTTGGAAGGGATGGGGATTGTAGCCTGACACATCTAGAGGGCAACAGATGAGAAAAGGCTGTGGTATGTTTTAAGATGGCAGCCTCAAGTCTTAAAAGAGAATTTTCTCATGTTCTCATAGGCTAATTTTCCTAACTTTTGATATATGCATTTCTTATGTATTACCGTTAAATAAGAAATGAATGTATGTGCATTCTTACAGATAGTTGTGGTCCTTAGCATGGTTAGCAGAAAGGTGTTTTTTTAAAAGAAACTCTGAATTACTTGGATTTCTATTTGCAGAAGTTTTCTGTTGCAAGCCACTGTTTTGATTTGTACGCTTTTCACAGATTCTTAAGTTTTCTTACATTACAGCTGTAAAGGAAAGCTGCATAAAGGCTTCCCAGCGCAAAATTCTCCTTTGAACCTTGATTCAAATGTACTGAGTGACTGAAATGAAGGAAAAACCAAAGTCTCACTAGATTTGTGCACACAGACTACTTTGTTGCTTGTCTGCTGACATTGTCCTTGGGGGCAATGCACTCAGTACAGCTGCACTGAAGTCCCGAAGAAATAGATTATTTGATGGTTGTCACTCTTTGCTTGAGAAAAAGGCTGTTTGCCTTCTCTTTGAGTTTTGAGAATCTTTGCTGGAAATTTCTGTAACCATATAGCACACGGCTACAACATACCAAAAGGAAGGTTTGCCAGATTATAAACCTCCTTCCAAATGATGCACAGATTGCTCTTCACATTTGCTGAGATTAGGGGCATAGAAACCCCACAAAAGGGAAAACCATTATTATTAAACTTTATACCCCGCCATCATCCCCCCTCAGGGGCTCGGGGCGGCTAACATGAGGCCAAGCCCAACAAATACAGTAACAAATGAAATACATACAGCAAGTAATAATTAAATAAAAATAAAAAGCAATAAAAACAATGTACAAAAACAGTAAAAGAAAATTAACACAATGGGACATAACATGAACCATGAATAAAGAAATTTATTTTTATTTTGCCTGAGAGAACTTAGGAATTTCTAGGTCTTCCAGCACAATTTATGGTCAAATTCCATAGAAAGAACAGTTTAAATAAAATCCTTGAATAATTTAATCCACAACAGTTGAAACCAGAGATGTGGAGGGATTGACTCCATTGTCAGATGGTTAAAAACTGGGAAACAAATAGAACAGTAATTTTTAACCCATGGTCTAAGCTTAAATTTGATTTTGATAAAAGAGTCTCTTGGCACAAATACTTTAAGCAAGACTTGTTGCTCAGTTGCATTGGGATTGCAGCTCCCTTAGTTCTTTCAGAGTTTACATGCAAATAAAATGGCTCTAAAGCACTGCTGAACTATGAAAGCTTTTAAAAAAATATTCATTTAGTACAGGCATAAATCTTAAAGTACTTTGAATGAAGGGTCCAAAAATTCCTTTGTTTTCTTTGTTGAGAGAAGGGACAGAATTCTGCCTGCAGCAGCTCCCGATACAGCTGTCTAGCTTATGACACAAATCTGGTTTGTAATACCATCCAATTTCCTAAAGTGTCTGAAGTTTCTGAAGTTGTATTTCAAAGCAGTGGTTTGCTTTTAAGTCCTTGGATTTAATTCCCGGGTATAAGTTGAAGGAAACTGAAAAAGCAGGGTGGGCCTCTAGTTAGCCCTGTCGGCGAATACTTTGGGTTCCCCTCCTTTGAACTGACATGGGAATTCCGACTTCCTACTTGGTGATTCCAGTCAGAGATGCAGCCCACACTTCTGAGACAAATGCAATTCACACTAGAGTGCGCACAAAAACCCCTTGGCATAAGACCGAAAGTTCTTCCCGTTTTGTGGTCCGGTTGCTGTGGAAACGCACAACAAAGGGCAGCCTACCACTTCTGGTATAATTGTGTAGTCCCTTTTTTGTAGACCTGACACCTGTCTGAATAAAGAGTGATTAGAGCTGAATAGTGTTCCTTGTCTGACAATTGAAGATGCGGTTCACGTACAGCACTGATGACAACAAAAAAGGAAAGCGAAGAAGTAAAATGTCTATGTTGTGTCTCTTTGTTTGCCACTACGTTTTGAAGTTTTGTAAAACTGCATTTTTTTTCACAATGTGAAACTGAAGGTCAATAAATTATTAGAGATTTTCTCTTCAAGAAATACGTTCTTCTGTGATTTGTTTGTTTTTTATTTGCCATGTAAAAAACATTTGCATGGATTCATTTAATACTCAACTTCATAAAAAGGGGCAGCTATGAGAAAGGAGTTCATTGATTTGTTTTAAATATCTGTTTCAGTTACACTTGGAATTCCCTCCTTTGTTCTGCCCTGTCACTCTTACTATGAACTAGTTCGGAAAGTTCAACAGCTAAAATGACAGGAGCTTTAAGACATCTCTGTGGACAGGAAATGCAAGGCTTTGCAAATCTCCCCACCTCCTGGCTCTTGAAGCATGGCTTAGGGACTGATATTACTTCAGAAGGAATTGTGCAAGTCAAATCCTGCCAAATTATTTCTGAAGGATGAGGGGAAAAAGATAAGTGGTATTTAAGAAAATGTGTGTCATTTATTTTTGCTGCAATGTAGTCAATTATATGAGTTGGTTCCAGATTTGACTACCCTATATACTTATGTATATGTCTAGAAATATCCGCTGAAAAACAACCCAAAAAACCTGAGTTATTCTACATAGTTCAGTGTGAGTAATGTCCTTTAACACTTTTCAAAAAGGGAGGTATCCCCTTTTCTGAGTTTAGGACAATAGGCAAGAGCTTAGTCTGTTCTTGGAAAACATAAAAGAAGTACCTCTACTTTCCGTCGCGTTGCCACTTCTGCCTATTTGAATGCTTGGATGGGAAAATTGTGGCCAGGAGTGGATAGCCTCTAGAGGTGACACTGGTGCTTTCCTCTCTCTGCAGAATGATTCCTGACTTATCCTGATGTCATATCAAAATTCATTATTTTTTGCCCTCAGCTTATACATGAGGTTGATATATTACACATGAATATATATGGTATGATTAGGAGAGATCCATCAGTATCAAGGGCATATTAGAATCATGGATTCATAATTACACCATGTCTAATGTAATTCAGGTTCATATTTAATTGATGTATTTTAAACATGAATAAGTTTGGACCCAGTCTGCAGTATTGCTCGGTTTTCTCAGAACATACTGGATTAGGTCCACATGTAGATGTATGCCATTAAGCTTCCTTATGATTTCTTCCTCACAGTCCCCTAAACAATCTCCAGCCCCCTGAACAAGCAACATGAATGGGGGTGGGAGGGGGGACCTTGCTGAAATGGTGATTGGACTTCCCCAAAAGTCAACAGGAGGACTCCTCTGTGAGCTGAGCCCTTCCATCTTTTCAGATAGAGCCTCGACCCAATCCTTGGGAGTATTCAGTTCACGAGGAATAACACCCCCTATAACATGCTCTGACCTTAGTATATTCCATTGTTTTTAATACAATTTTAATAGAATGTCCACAGTTACATACAGAAATGAAGCATGTTTAATGTTGCAGGGTTCAGTAGATTCACATCTCATTACTGGTGTAACATATCCAAAACCCAACCTTATATATGATTATATCAAGGTCCTTTTAGTCCCAATTTATCCCTGTGGTCCGGTACATTGTTAATTGCATCATTGTGTATGTGTACAGCCCTGGTCCCCTGTGATAATGGAAGCTAACCAGAGTCAGCATTGGTTAGCACTTGGATTGGAGACTGGAAAGAACCAGGTAAAACCATATCAGAGTACTTGCCTCAGAAAATCCTCTGAAACTCACGTGGTCATTGCCTATAGATAGGATATAGATTTATTTTTTAAGTTTGTGTAAGTGTACATTGGTTAAAACTGCATAAAATGTCTTGATGCAATCATAAAACAATCAGAGCTTTGTTAAAAAAATCTGTATACATTGGTAGTAGTATGAGTGAGGCAGGATGAAGACATAGAAGGGTAAGCAGAAGCCTGTAACAAACCAAATGTACAATGCTGTGAAAAAATTGAAATAGCAAAATGAAAAAAGGGAGCACTTATAGCACTAGTTCTAATACAAAAACAAGTTCACGGAAGGCTCTCAAATTCAGGGAGAAATGGAATGAATTGAATTTCAGTCATATTGCTAGCTTAAAGGAAAACCCTAGGGATCTAAGCAAAATATGCATGTTTTAAACCACAGATGATTTCAGTGGAAGAGAAAGTTGCATTCACTCACATCCTTCACTGAATGTTGTTTGTAGTCATTTTTGTCTGAATTATTCTATTCATGGGGTGGTTGGTGTCAGGTTTTAGTTTAGTAAGATTCCTAGAACACACACATACATTCTTAAAGAAGGTTGTCTGTGCCCTCATAGAATGATTAACATTTTTGGTGCTTGACAGCATGAATACAATCAAGTTATGTGTATAATTTGCATCATCTCCCTGCAGCAAA